CTCTTGGTTAAAATGAAAGAGAGAGTGAAAAGCTGGCTAAAACTCAATATTCAAAAAAGTAAGATCATGGCATCTGGTCCCATCACTTCATGGCAAATAGATGGGGAAACAGTGGAAAGAGTGACAGACTTTACTTTTGGGGGCTCCAAAATCACTGTAGATGGTGACTGCAGCCATGAAATTAAAAGATGCTTGCTACTTGGAAGAAAAGTTATGACCAACCTAGACACCATATTAAAAAAACAGAGACATTACTTTGCCAACAAAGGTCCATCTAGTCAAGGCTATGATTTTTCCAGTAGTCATGTATGGATGTGAGAGTTGGACTATAATGAAAGCCGAGTGCCAAACAATTGGTGCTTTTGAACTGTGGTGTTGGAGAAGTCTCTTGAGAGTCCCTTGGACTGCAAGGAGATCCAATCAGTCCATCCTAAAGGCAATCAGTCCTGAATATTGATTGGTTAGACTGATGCTGAAGCTGAAACTCCAATACTTTGGCCACCTGACGCAAAGAACTGACTCATTAGAAAAGGCCCTGATGCTGGGAAAGATTGAAGGCAGGAGGGGAAGGGGAGGGCAGAGGATGAGATGACTAGATGGCATCACTGACTCGATGGACATGAATTTGAGCAAGCTCTGGGAGTTGGCGATGGACAGGGAAGCCTGGCATGCTGCAGTATATCGGGTCACACAGAGTCAGACGCAATTGAGTGACTAAACTGACTGAAAAACACCCAACTCTCTAAAGACCTGTTCCACCAGATTCCCTGGAGCACAGAGTGCCTCACTCCAAACTGAATTCCCTCAGGGGGTGTTGAAAGTCAATGCCTGCTGTGGCACAGTGTTCAGTCTCTAGAGGGAGATGGCAAATGCCCTGTTGTTCAGTCATTGGCAATGCAATTGGTAAGTGACAATTAATGATTGACATTGCTTTGCCAGGCAAAGGGGGACACAGTGGGCTCCTACACTGAGAAACTGTGTGTCCCAACCTAGGAGGATTTGATGAGTTTTATAGTAATAGTTCATGAGTGGCGTTGCTGATAAAATTAGGCTGTATGCAGGTCCTGAATGCTTTTAATCTTGTCTCAGGTGGTCTTGATGAACTTCTCTGGTTCCTTTAATCTTTCTTCAGGTGGTTTCTTGACTACTCTTCCCTTGAATAGCAACTGTTTGCTAATCAGGGAAGGTCATGGAGGCTGGGGTCCAACAAATGAGAAACAGGCGACTGAAAGATTCCTCTGCCCAGGAGCCCCACAGGGTCCTGCTTAGTTTTGTAACCTACCAACAACCAAAATACTTGAGCTAATAAGATTCTTGCTTCCAGGCATCTGAATTGGGAAAGGAAAAGATTGAGAGTGTGTGAGGAGGAGGAGAGCATTGAGATGGGAGGAGGGCATGGTAACCCACTCCAGTATTCTTGCCTGGAGAATCCCATGTATAGAAGAGCCTGGTGGGCTACAGTCCCTAGGGTCACAGAGTCAGATACGACTGAAGTGACTTAGCACACATGTGCACATGGGAATAAAAACTGAAAGGGCATGGAGAGGAAGGACAGAAAAATGTCAAACTATGAGTAAGAAGGTAGCAGGTAGGTAGGGGCAGATTGAAGCAAAAGTTGTAGGTTAAAAAAAAAAAAGATATTCAGGGCAAAGGTAAGGAATGAATGCTAGAGCGAGAAGGAGATAGGAAGAAAGTAGCAAACATGTTAATGGCATGATACTAAATGATATGAGATAAGACAGACAAGCTCATGCAGTTGGAATCCTTAGCTCTTGCTGCTTTGGATTCCAAATAATGGTTTTATTCTTGTTTTTCTGCTCTAAAATCTAGCTCTACTAAGGTTTCTGCTCTTTCGTGGTCAGATTATTGGCTATGACAGGTCCTAGGCATAAATGGAGGTAACTTAAATGAATACCCCTATTAATGGAGGTAATGTCAATGAAGCCTGTTCCTCAAAATGAAATAGTTTCAAGAGCATGAGAATCAAAAGGACATGGTTCAACCACAGGATTTTTATAAGAATTTATGAGATTTTTATGAGAATTAAACAATAAATGTAATTGATATAGCAAATAAATACAACAAAATAACCAATAAATGTAATAACAAATATAAAAAAAGACACGGTTAATTCAGCAGTAAGCATTTAAAAAAAAGAGGTTTGAAAACTCTGAGCAAAAAGGTTCAGTACAGGTCAACTAATTAGTTTGGTTATTCACTTATTCTGTCATTCTTTTATTCATTCAACAACATTTATTGAGCACTTACTATTTGCCAGGCAATGTTGTGTGGTAGGGATGGGTCAGTGACTAAGTCAAAGTTTAATTCCAGTGGAGTAGACAGACCATAAGCAAGTCAACGATTGCACAGAAAATGTCTAATGTAATAAGCACCCCCAAAAGTAGGATAAAGGAATGGAGAGTGATGGGTGTGATTTTAGACAGTGTAGCTAGAGAAGGTTCTCAGAAGCAGTGATGACATTTGAATAGGGACTTTAATGAGATATGTCCTGCAGCTGCTACACCTAGAATATTGTTTCCATTTCAGATTGCCACACATTAGGTAGAATCTAATTTGTAACTTTCTCAAATGAGTTAAAATGAGAGAAATCAGGAGAATGGGGAACAATCCAAAGCCATGTCATATACAAAAAGTTCACAGTGCTGGCAATGTTGAGTCTGGAAGAGAGTGGGAACTCGGGAAATGTGATGGATTTCTTTAAATTATTTAAGGATCTATGAAAGAGACACTAGATTTGTTCTGTTTGGAGTTGTTGCTGTTTTTCAGTCACTCAGTCATGTCTGACTCTTTGTGACCCATGGACGGCAGCATGCCAGGTGTCCCCATCCTTCACTATCTCCTGGAGTTTGCTCAAACTCATGTCCATTGAGTTAATGATACCATCCAACCATCTCATCCTCTGTCACCTGCTTCCCTTCCTGCCCTTCAACTTTCCCAGCATCAGGGTCTTTTCCAATGAGTCAGCTCGTCACATCAGGTGGCCAAAGTATTGGAGTTTCAGTTTCAGCATCAGTCCTTCCAATGAATATTCAAGGTTGATTTCCTCTAGGACTGACTGGTTTGATCTCCTTGCTGTCCTCTTAGGAAGACTTTCAAGAGTCTTCTCCAGCACCACAGTTCCAAAGCATCAATTCTTTGGTGCTCAGCCTTCTTTATGGTCCAACTCTCACACTTGTACATGACTATTGGAAAAACCATAGTTTTGACTATATGGATCTTTGTCAGCAAAGTGTTGTCTCTGCTTTTTAGTACTCTGTCTAGGTTTGCCATAGCTTCTCTTCCAATGAGCAAGTGTCTTTCTATTTCATGGCTGAAATTTGGACTGTAGGGTAGAAGTTACAGGGTGTTCAGTTAAGTTCAATCACTCAGTCGTGTCCAACTCTTTGCGACCCCATGAATTGCAGCACGCCAGGCCTCCCTGTCCATCACAAACTCCCGGAGTTTACTCAAAATCATGCCCATCGAGTCGGTGATGCCATCCAGCCATCTCATCCTCTGTCGTCCCCTTCTCCTCTTGCCCCCAATCCCTCCCAGCATCAGGGTCTTTTCCAACGAGTCAACTCTTCGCATGAGGTGGACAAAGTATTGGAGTTTCAGCTTCAGCATCAGTCCTTCCAATGAACACCGAGGACTGATCTCCTTCAGGATGGACTGGTTGGATCTCCTTGCAGTCCAAGGGACTCTCAAGAATCTTCTCCAACACCATAGTTCAAAAGCATCAATTTTTCGGTGCTCAGCTTTCTTCACAGTCTAACTCTCACATCCATACCTGACCGCTGGAAAAACCATAGCCTTGACCAGACGGACTTTTGTTGGCAAAGTAATGTCTCTGCTTTTTAATATGCTATCTAGGTTGGTCATAACTTTCCTTCCAAGGAATAAGTGTCTTTTAATTTCATGGCTGCAGTCACCATCTGCAGTGATTTTGGAGCCCCCCAAAATAAAGTCTGACACTGTTTCCACTGTCTCCCCATCTATTTCTCATGAGATGATGGGACCAGATGCCATGATCTTAGTTTTCTGAATGTTAAGCTTTAAGCCAACTTTTTCACTCTCCTCTTTCACTTTCATCAAGAGGCTTTTTAGTTCCTCTTCACTCTCTGCCATAAGGGTGGTGTCATCTGCATATCTGAGGTTATTGATATTTCTCCTGGCAATCTTGATTCCAGCTTGTGCTTCTTCCAGCCCAGCGATTCTCATGATGTACTCTGCATATAAGTTAAATAAGCAGGGTGACCATATACAGCCTTGACGTACTCCTCTTCCTATTTGGAACCAGTCTGTTGTTCCATGTCCAGTTCCAACTGCTGCTTCCTGACCTGCATACAGGTTTCTCAAGAGGCAGGTCAGGTGGTCTGGTACAGGGTGTTAGCAATCAGCTATTAATTAAGTAGGTTAGGTTTTTAGAGATAGGAAGATTGACCACTTGATAATGATATGGAGGAGATAAGATGAATGGTTAGACTTGATAGCCCTTAAGATCCTTTGAAAGTCTTTGATTCTATGACTTTAATAATGACAAAATTATTACTTCACAAATCATCCCATTCTGTGGCCTTTTCACTGCAGAGAATGGGATGTGAATGAGACAGCCATCTCTAAGAAAGGTGGGTAGCATCCCATGGATCAACGATATTTCCCAATTTATTACCAAATGTTTGGTTTCCTAAGCAATTCACTGAGTGAATCCTCAAAACCCAATTCTTCCATTTCCACAAAGGGCTAGTGTGCAAGCTTAATCAATGACTTTGGAATCTGACCAAAATTTGGGCAAATCATCTGGCTGTGAAATGAATATGTGCTAGCCCACTTAGGGAACTGCTTTTTCTTCTTCGGGTTTCTGTACCCCTACTTCCCTCTTTGGCAGGTTTTGTTGCATGAGTTTAGGGAACTGGAGCTTAGTCCAGGAGTCTAGCTTTGCCTTTAACCCCAGGGGACCTGGCTTACTCCCTCACTTACTCTTCTTCCCGTTGCTGCAGGAAAGTCAGCAGCGCAAGCCCACTGAGAACTTCTGCCTACCCTTGATGCATCAGAAAAAAAAGTTAAGATCTGGACTGAAACCAGTATTTCCTTTGATGCTGTTGGAGGACACCAAATCCAAGCAAGAACAATGGTTTAGGTGAAGTCCTGGCTCTTTCTTCCCTCTTCCTTATTCATGTCACTATCTCTCTTCAATACGATTTAACAAATACTTGTTGTTTATAGGGAATGTGGAAAATTGTATAACAATAAGACAGCTTTCCTATGTGACCCCCAACCACATTTCTACCTTAGTGACAGAGAAACAGTAATGCAAACTAAGGTTTTTCACAAGAGATGTAGTCAAAGGTCTATGATTTGAGGAAACAACAACAAAAAATCTCCTTCAGTGCACATAAGGATTGTGATATAGGAACAATCTGATTTGAAACTGGTTATAGGCACAGACTCTATCTAGTTTGGAGAGGAGAGAGGAGATTCTGGAATTCCTTCATAGGCTTGCAACGCTAGGTTCTAGAAGCAACCCTTCCCCTGAACAATACTGCCACTCTGTACCAATGAACACCCTCTAATTGTGCTGTCTTTTCTTCTTCCCTAGAATCTGAGGATGCAGTGCCTGGTTTCAATAACCCCCTGCCCTTACCCCACCCCCACACTAGGGCCTACTAAGTCAACTTTCTTTGTTAAGGTTTTCCACCAACAAGGATTTCAAGAGTGAAGGGAAGTATTCAAAGGTCTACACTTTGAGGCAACAGAAGAAAATGTACCCTCAGCTCACCTTTGCTTCAGTCTGTAAAAAAGATATGAAGAATGACGGTAAGGTCCTCTCTTTCAAAGCAATGCTTTACAAGACAGCGATGTGGGCAGGAGGGACAACCTATGGGGATGAGTGATGAAGGCAAATCAACATCTCTCTTGGAGGTTCCGGAGACTGTTTATCCGTGTAGCATGGAAGCCAAGAACAGATAGAGGCCTGAGTGGTTCTAGGCTTCTGACCTTGTTAAAATCCTCAAATCTCAAGAAAGTTCCAGCATAGTGTTTCCCAAACTACGTAACTTACACGTTACGAGTTTTGGTCAATGTGTTACTTGCCCTATAATTTACTTAATGTTTTTCTTTAAAATTATTATTTTTTGGTTTCATCCTAATTATTGTCCTATGTCCCAATGTCCTATGTTATTGACATTATGGGTTTGGTATACTAACACATGGGATTGTTCCTCCTCTTATATGTTTAAGTGAGGCTTCCCTGGTGGCTCAGACAGTAAAGAATCCGCCTGCAACACAGGAGACCTGGGTTGGGAAGATTCCCTGGAGGAGGGCATGGCAAACCACTCCACTATTCTTGCCACCATGGACAGAGGAGCCTGTAGGTGGGCTAAAGTTCATGGGGTTGCAGTCGGAAATGACTGCAGGACAAAGCACAGCATATATTCAATCAAATTCATAATGATTAACATTTAAAATGTTTATGTATCTCCCCAAACTACCCAGTGGTGTGCATATCACACTTTGAGGAAAACTGTTCTAAAAGGGCCAAAGGATAAGCTGTGAGTCTCAGAGGTCCATGAGTCTCCTTGGGGCTGAGGCAGGACATAGTGTGGAATAGGGTTCGGATAAGGTAGGAGCACAGTGAGAATTCTCCTCACAAACTATCATTCATTTAGCAACATTTATTGGGCACTTACTAAGTGCCGGATATTTATCAAGCACCAGTAATAGCATTTTCAGTACATAGGATAGATGGATGGCTAGGTCACTAAGGGCTTTGTCTATTAGTATAAATAAAGGCTTAGGTTTTATCCAGCAAGTGTTTATGACCCACTGAAGAATTTCAGAGCACTGAATTCACATTTGTGTATTAGAAGTTTAATCGGTGAGTGCCCAGACTTCCCTAGCCTACGGCTCCAAGACAAGGTTCATTTCTCCTATGGGGTTTCTCTCCTTGAGCAATTTCTGAAACTCCCAGAGGTATGCTTCTCTGTTCTCCAAGGCCATTCTAGTGACAGTCAACCAGCCTCAGTTCCAACAGGCACGGCTCCAGAGGCACGCGGGCACATTCTACCATCCCTCACCTGGCTCCTTCAGCATCTCTGCTCCTACTGGACCCATGTGCCACCTCGCCCAAGATCCACCCACTGCCTCTCTTCATTCCCTGTGCTTGAGTGTTCAGCTGTATCTGACTCTTTGCGACCCCATGGACTGCAGCCCACCAGGCTCCTCTGTCCATAGGATCTTCCAGGCCAGAGTACTGGAGTGGGGTGCCATTTCCTTCTCCAGGGGATCTTCCTGACTCTAGGACTGAACCCATGTCTCTCACATCTCCTGCATTGCAGGTAGATTCTTTACCACTTAAGCCATCAGGGAAACACCCTCTTAACTCCCCATATGCAGCTAAACCCAAACGGTGGCATTAAATAACACTTCATAGAGACTTCTGTGGCAGTCCAGTGGTTAAGACTCTGCACTTCCAATGCAGGGGGTGTGGGTTTGATCCCTGGTCAGGGAACTAGATCCCACATGCTGCAGTAAACAGCCAAAACAGAACAAACAAACAAAACTAAAACCCCAAACACTTCACAGATGTGGACAAAAGTTCAGGGATGGCAGAGAGTCACTTATCTTGTTTGAAAAGGGGCCACTCTGGGCCTTCCCTGGTGGTCCAGTGGCTAAGATTTCACACTCCCAATGCAAGGGGCTTGGGTTCAATCCCAGGTCAGGGAACTAGATCCCACATGCTGCAACTAAGACCCAGTGCAGCCAAACAAATAAACGTTTTAAAATAAATACATAAAAAGGGCCACTCTCAGGCTCAGCCTCAACCCTCCCCTCCATCCTCCATGTTCCTTCACACTTACCAGCAGGCCCCAGCATATTATCCATTCTTGGGAGTCTCTTGGTTTACGTGCACCATCTCTGCTTAGGCTCCCAATACCTTTGGCCCACGAGAGGGGAAAAGGTTACTCCTTTCCCTTAAGCCTTTTTATTTTCAGGCCCAGAATAAATAAGTAGGAACATCTATTTCCTTCAAGGGAAACGCTACATGGAAAGCAAGTTTGAGCTTTATAAGCCAGAAAAGGCAAGCATAATAGTATATTTAGTAAACTTGGAGTTAAATCTCAATTAATACCATATGCAGGGTATCAGCAGTTTAGCTTAAATCCATATTAGAAGAAAGAATTTCTCCAGGGTCTAGAATCTAATCTGGATTAGAATTTCTCTGATTTTTCAAGGCCATGATTCTGTTAAGGTAACCCAATAACCCAGTTTACACTTCTAAACAGAACACTTAATATCTCAGTCTGCAGAATTTCTTAGAATTATGGTAACTTTACAGGTTCCCTCAAGAAAAATGAATGGATATTTACCTATGTATCTAAAGGGTAATTACTGTGCTTTTCCTAAACAATCTATTGTGAAGTTGAAGCAGTGTCTCTACGTCAAGCAAAAGAGAACCTAGCAAGCCCTCCTTCCATCCATCCAAATAAAAGGTTACATAGAAAACTGTTTTGATGTTACACAGAAAACTGTTAACCATGAAGGCTGGTTAGGAGGCTGTCCAACAAACCGACAGGACCTGAATTAAGGCAATAGCAGTAGGAATAAGAAAACAGATTTAAGGGATATTTACATGGCATAATGCTTCAGAATAGAGGGGAGGGATGGGAACAAGACAAGCCCACAGCAGAGGCATCCAAGAAGGGCTGAAATTGAAAGAGAATCTGGAAAAAGTGATACTGAAGCCAAAGGCAGAAACAGCTTCTTAGTTACACTCTCAGACAGGAGAACTGAAAATCAACATACATTTTAGGAAAGGGCGAAGAGGAATATGAATGCACAAGTGAAAGTACCTTAACTTAGTAAGAATTATGTAAGTGTCAACCCCCTGGAGAAGGGAATGGCAACCCACTCCAGGACTCTTGCCTGGAGAATTTTGTAGACAGAGGAGCCTGGTGGGCTACTGTTCATGGGGACGCAAAGAGTTGGACACGACTGAGCAACTTACACACACACACACACACACAAGTGTCAAAATGGTCACAGATGGAATCATTTGAAAGGGGTGGGATTAGATAGGGAAGATCCTAAACTGATAGTGTTTTAAAGTGTGTCTTGATGAAGGGAAGAATTATAAACAAAGCTGGCAATGGTGGCCAGTGGTCCAAAACCTACCCTTCTTGCTCTGAGTAAAGACCAGGTTTCTCGCCCCTCCAAATGGGTCTCTTTTCATTTTTCACATTATGTGTCCTCCCTCGGGAAGTCCATTTTCACGAAGGTGCCCTGTGCTTTGTTGCAGTCTCCAAGAAGTCAGGGAGCGACTCGCCAACTTCCCAGATGATTTGGGAACCATTAACCCTTTCATCACTCCTGGAGAAGAAGCCCACCAGAACCGCACCGGGAGAGAGCGAGTTCCGCAATGGAAGGGCCCAGCAGTGGTTTATAAAAAGCGCCACTGTCATTAAGTGAAAACAAACCCTACAGGGCCCCCGCTTCTCTCCAAAGACTGAGGGGCCTGCAGAAGTCGCCATCTAGGGCGTGCCAACCAAATAAAATTTCATTCTGCCCGCTCCGGGCGTGGGCTGCCGGGTGGCTTGCAGGGCGGGCCGGGGCTAGCCCCCAGCGGCGACCGGTCGCTGTAGAGGCGGAGATGCGGCTCTGGTGGGACCCATCGCTGGCCCCGCCTCCGCCCGCTTGGGAAGGAGAAGAGGGCGTGGCCACGCCCCCGGGGGAGCGGTGTGAGCGGCCAGCGCAGAGCAGGGAGGGCGGGCCTTCTTTCCGAGTGACGGGACCGCGGCCCAACCGGTGCCAGAGCACCGAGCCGGCCTTCCTGCAGCCTCTTCCGCTTGCCGGCTGCGGCGCCTGGGACGGTTGCGGTGGGTCTGGGCGCTGGGAGGTCGTCCAAGATGATTAAAAAATTCGACAAGAAGGACGAAGAGTCTGGTACGCCCGGGGCTCAACCGCGAGGGCCCCTTCCCCTTCCCCCGCCCCGCCGCCACCTGCTCTCGGGGACTGCGGACCTGGGGGCGTGGGCGCCGGTGTGCCAGGGGGCTGGAGTTGGAGCCCGGCCCCTCCTCCGACCCCGCTTCACTTCAGCCGGGGGCCTGCCCCTAAGCCCCTCCCCCCCGGGCTCCGGAGCCTCCCTTCAGGTCGGCGCGCTAGTGCGCGGCCGGCCGCGCGCCGCCTCGGGCTGCTCGGCGGTCCCGCCCCCAGCCCCCCTCCTCTGGCGCCGCCGCTCCTCGGACCCGCCTTCTCCTCCGCCCGTTCGCCTGGGGTGGGCTTGCCCACCAAAGAGGCGGGCCCACGGCAGGTGGCGGAGGGAGTGAGTGTGCGCTTGTGAGAGGCGGGGGTTGGATGGGGTGGGGTGGGGGCGGGCTACTGGTAGTGTACGGCCCGGAGTGGGTCTGGGGTCGACCGGACTGTGTGTGTGTGTATGAACTTTGTGGTGCTTGTACCTTACAGTCTCCCTGGGGACCTCTGCGCTGTCCGCTTCCCTGGGGGCAAGGCTGTTCCGTGGTACCTAGCTCATTTAATACTCAAGCATCCAAAAGTGAGTTGCATCCTGATACCCATTTTTGGTCCAGAGTAAATGAGGCAGATAGCCAAGTCCCCTCAAAAAAAAAAAAGTCTCAGTGATTGATAGGTGCTCTCACAAAGCATGGTCGAGGGTTGGGTTAGGAAACCTCTATGACCCTTTCAAAGCTTGAAGCGTATCTAATTCTCTGATAAACTCTTCTGCCTCCCAGCAAAATGTTAGAAATACATAAAATAGTGCTTTCCTGTAGGGAAATCCAAAGGGCCTTGCCACAGTCTTATCTTAGTTGTGAGGACATGGCAGGTATTTGTAACATTCATATAAAAAGAAGGCAGGCCAAGAAGACACTCATTTCAGGCAGAGTTTCTGTAAAAGAGAAGTACAGGATCTTACAGGATAGCAGACAGAGCTAGTGTCAAAAAGATTTTAATCAATTTGTATGCATATTAGTAATGATTATCACTGTAATATCCAAGTGGACACCTCACTTAGGTGAGATTTCTCAAGCATTTAAAACCCTTCTATAGAAAGTAAATACATCTGTGTATGCCAGCTATTAAAGACATTTTTTCCCCCATGATATAGGTAGTGGCTCCAATCCTTTTCGGCATCTGGAGAAGAGTGCTGTCTTACAAGAGGTATGGCTTGGAAGTATAGTGTTTTTTCTTTTCTGTTCCATTTTAGAATGGGGACAGAGCACCTGGAATTCTATGATCCAAAATAAGAATTAAGGAGTGTAACTGATTTCAGAGAATATATACTGGAGTGAAAAAAAAAAGAGGGGTTTCTTGTCATAGGAAGGTCTAGAGTTTATAGAAATGCAAACATTTGTAGACTCTGTCACATGTTGAGAATTTTAAGTAAAATAAGGTAGGAGGTGTTTAGTGGGAGGCTTTTAGTGGGAGGCTTTTAGTTGTAGATACTAAGCTCATTGTATTCAAATGATGTAGGTAAATATTGAGATTCTTAGGTAAAGTCCACAAGTTGAAATGGGAGACCTAAGGGAGTGAGTATGGAGTGGAAAATCAGGGTCACATCTAATAATTTATTATATACCATAATAAATTGAAAACTATAAGCTACATTATTTGGGTACCATGATTAAAATATGTAATACTCCTAAAAACATATATATAATAGTCTTCATTTTATTTAAGTTGATTTTCTATAACCTGTGATAGAAAATATATATAGCAAGTGTTTTTTGTTTCCACAGGCTCGTATATTCAATGAAACGCCCATCAATCCAAGAAGATGTTTGCATATTCTTACAAAGATTCTTTACTTACTGAACCAGGTAAATTACTGTGATTTTCCTCAGATTTGTGTCTTAGAATAGAAATACATAATGTGCAGTGAAATTTTTTCTAGAAAGTATGATTATTAATTTTTAATAATTCACTTAATATTAAAATTTGCAGTGTTTGATTGATGTAGTAATATGTAAAATTTCTTGTGGACAAGGCATATGACATATACTTCTTTCTTATTCATGAGGTACCAAATCAGCTAAGCACACAGTATAATCTCAACAATGATTTGAATTTAACAAGTATTAGTTAATATTAAAACATGTTGTTTAGGTATGTTCAGAGGTCTTTATGTCCCTCCAGAAATATTTTAAAAAAGCTTAGACAAATTCTAGATAGATATTTTATCCTTTTTTGAGGGTATATTAATATTTTAAAGCTTTCATTTTAATATTCAAATTAAGGAATATAAGCAGGAATATTGTTTTATTGTACTTCACTTTATTGCATTTTTTTTTTTTTTTTACAAATTGAATGTTTGTGGCAACCCTGTATTGTTAGATGATGGTTAGCATTTTTAAGCAATAAAGTATTTTTAAGTTAAGGTTTGTACATTGTCTTTATTTAGACATAATGCTATTGCACACAATAGACTACAGTGTAGTGTAAACATTTATATGCAACATTTATGTGTATAAATATATAAATTTATATGTATAAATAGTGTAACATTTATATGCACTGGGAAACCAAAAAAAGTCCTCTGATGTGCTTTATTGTAATATTTATTTTATTGTTATGGTCTGGAACTGAACCTACAGTATCTGCAAGATATGCCTGTGTTTGTTTATTTATGATTTTCTTAGTATGGTTCTGGGCTTAACTGTTTGGTGCTTTATGTCTTTTTCTCTGAATGGGGATTATGATAATACCTGTTTTAGACAATGGTAATGATTAAATGATACAGTAAATGTGAAGCACCAAAAATAGTCCTGGACACATAGTAAGCATTCAGGAATAGTTTTCATTCAGTCATTCAGTGTATATATTTATTATACAGCTGCTGTGTCCTATGCACAGGGGATATAGCAGACAAAACCAACAAAAATATTTGCCTTCATGAAACATAGATCCTACTTCTTTTTTTTTTCTGTTAGGTGTATGTTTTTTTGTTGTTGTTTGTTTTTGTTTTTTATTGCTTCAGACTAAAAAATCTCATGAAATGTCTAGGACCTTAGAAAATGTGATTTTGTTTGTTAGATTCATACACACACACACGTGTACATGCATACATACACACACCTATATATACCTCAGCTGGTTTACATACGGTGCAAAGAACTCTGTGGTTTCCAACTTGAATTCCATGAGAATATTTTTACTTGACTACGTTTCATGACTGATGACTTTATCCACAGAGATAAAAGTTTTGTAGTTTGCAAATGAAGGCTGAACAACAAGTCCATGCTTTTAAATAAAATATATCTATTCACAAACATATATCCTCTTGTGGTATTATTAGAAACATTTAAGGCAAAATCAGTTTGATTTAACTTTCCATGGCACACATTGTGTCCAAGTTGGCTAACTCCAGTCAGCAAGCATAGCTTTGAGTAATGTCGGTCTAGAGTAGCATATATTTTTATATTGGCCAATACTGCTTCGATGGGCAACCCCTGTCGAAACATAACTATCTTGATGAGAAAGTTACCCATATAGTCTGATAAACACTTGACAACTAGGTGAACAGATTTGGAACCTTAGCCTTAACTTCTGCCTAATTCATCGTAGTTCTTTATGGAGAATTGCTTTTAAATTTCTACCAGCGTTGACAACATCCATATATTTTTGAGTTTCAAGTCAGAAAGTAGGGACTTAAGGTGTCTTTCACCCTAAACTTTCAAGGTTTTTCATCAAAATTGGTTTATTCTTAAACCTATGACAAATAGATTGAAGACTAGTTTATTTTTTGTGAAAGCTGAAGCCCTGAAAAATGCTGGAGCCTAACATATTACATAGGATTGCTTTTAATGAAGAAACTAAATACTGAAATGATAATGTCTCAGGTGGTCTGTGGTCTGCAATGTTTTGACTATTAATAAGATATGTTATCTAACACCTTACTACTGAAAAATATGTGGTTCCCAGATCAATAGCATTCACATCACTGGGAGCTAATTTAAATGGAAAATTTTAGGTTTCACACCAGAGCCAGTGAATCAAAATCTGTATTTTGAGAAGATCCTTGGATGATCTATTAAGCACATTAAAGTTCTGACCCAAAAAAATGTTTTTAGGTGCTTGAGCCAGTATCTTGAGATGTATTGGCAGCCCTATAAGCCTTTTTGTATAATCTGATTCCTGCCGTTCTGGTTGGTCCCTTCTTACCATGTTTTCTGTGATTCCTATAGTTCTTTACAGTTTAATATTTATTATGCTCCTATGATAGGTTAGGCTTTGCACTGGGCATTGAATTATAGAAATGTAGGAGATATGATATCTGCCCTTAGGCTGTGTAACAATAACATCTTGTTCTGATTAAGAACTCAACTTCATTTTCTAGCTCTTGTAAATTTCAGTTCTTCAGGGAATTTAAAATAGTTCCTGCTAAAAGGTTAGAGACCACTGTTCAAGAACTTTTATAGCATAGTGTGTGATAACGAATTATTTTAAATAAGGAATGG